GGTTCCGCGTGCAATGTACTTCGCTGTCTGACAGGGAAAACATGGGGCAAGTCATGCTCATCCATGTTGAAACTCCAGAACACCTTGATCAATTCCCTTCTCAGGTATAGCTTGCCTGTCCTACAAAACATCTCGAACACGAACACCGAAAGTCTTCAAGCAGAAATAAACAAATCCTTAAGAATTTGTCTTGGTGTGCCTGAGGGAACATCTGTTAAAGGTACAACAGCAGAAGCAGGAACACTTCCCCTGGCAATCATGCGTACGCAGGAGACACTACGAGTGCATTTCAGACATAAATCACGAAACAAAAGGCATTTTCTCGTAAATTTGAACCACAAAAGACCAGCTGCGGGATACGGTAAAGCCATCGAAGCGCTGTGTTCCGACTTACCAGTTTCGACTAAATATTATGCAACGTCATCTTGTCCTGCCTGGACGATACCAATGCCAGAAATTCATATTAATGTACCAGGCCTCACCGAAAAGACAGTACAACCGCAAACCGTTAAGCTGCAACACACTAAGCCATATTCACTACACGTATTTCGACTACATACACGTATACACGGACGGATCTTCGTATACCGGCACATCATCCTCTGCAATAGTAATTCCTGTACTCAAGACAACTCGTAGTTACAAACTTTCCCATAAAGTTCCTTCAACAACTGCGGAATCGCACGAAATAAGGATGGCACTCCAGTTTGTTAACTCGAAAGCGGACTCACAAAAATGGGTCATTCTGACTGATTCACGCGCTGCTCTGCAATCATTAAGGCATTCACCTGCCACTTCATCAAATCCACAGTTGTGTTTTGAAGTTTTATTTACTTATGGAACTATCAAAAGAAATGGACATCATGTAGTGTTACAGTGGATACCAGGGCACATAGGGGTAACTGGAAATGAGACCGCAGATGCTGCTGCTGCTAGAGGGCATTATATGGATACTACGGAGGTCGTCCCATTTACAAAAACGGACGCTCGATCCCATATAAGGTTGTTTGGAAAAGAGGAATTCAAGAAGCTCTGGATATCCCCAACATACCACTACAAGCCTCTTTTTAAAATCGACCCGTGCCTCCGAAATATATCTCCACGAAATTTACCAAGAAACATAGAAACACTCTACCACCGCATCCGTTTGAACGTCGCCTACACGAATAAACAAAGATATAAGTATGGACAGATTTCAAGCCCGAATTGCCAGCAGTGTCTCGTGGAAGAAGATCTAAACCATATTTTTTCTAGTTGTCCCAAATATAATGAAGAGCGCTTGACACTATTGACCAGGATCCAACAACTTACCAGCGAACCATACAGTTTTGAAAAGGTCTTAGGCGCCTGGGAAAGACAACCGCATCAACGAAGGGCGTTAGATGCATTAATAACATTTCTTCACACGACCAATTTGATTGACCGATTGTAAATAATCTTGTAACGCACCGACTTTAATCTTGTAACATGCCGACTGTAAATAATCTTGTAAGATATCGATTGCAAATGATCTTGTGACATAACAAAAAGAAATACAATCATGAAACGTGAGCTGACCTCGACAGAATATGAACACGCATTCGTTCACCTTTCAATGTACAGACTGTATAAGGAATCTGTTCATTATTTCTACGATTTATGCTAAGACTGAATGTGTTGAACATACAATGTGATTAGAACCTTCCTGTGCGGTGATGTATGAGTGTCCTCTCCTGTTACTGTACAAGTCTCGTGCTGTACCTTGATTGCTCTACACCGGAACTTTGACTTTTGTATAGCAACCCATAACGTATGCCTTTCTAGTGCTATCTTTCCTCCTTTTCCCCTTCCCATGCTGAGTAGCCAGCCGGAATGCATTTTCTGGCTAACCTCTCTTGCATTTTCCCAAATAAATAAAAAAAAACACATTTCCCCCCTCCTCTTTTGGAGAGAAGACGGGTATACAAGATGCACATAACAAAGCCAGTCATATATATTATACATACAAAACAAAGATGCACGAAATCATAATTCAAAAGAAATTCAAGTTAAGCATTCATGATCACACACTTGGCCTAGGCTAGAGCCACTAAATAAGCTGCGCTTAGAGTATCGGCACTCCGTTCCCCGACATTGTTGTGGGCGCCGCCATTTTGGCTCGTATGCAGAACAGACGTAACGGCCGATCGTCATGATTCAAAAGTGCGACTTCCTCAGCATTAGATTCGGTGTTAGGAAGGTAATGTAATATTGCTTTGCCCTGTCGCGAACGGTTTGAACATATGTGGAGGGCGGAAAAACATTTCCTGTGATTTCAGATAAAGCTTCAGATAACTGGCAACCATAATTTTAAGCCACAATATGGCCAAGTGTCGTTACTCCGAAGGGTAGCTTATTTAGTGGCACTAGCTTAGGCTACGTTTAAAGCATTCGCACTCAACACTCATACTTTTGTACACAATATCTCAAATAACACTGTCAGAAAGTTTTTTACAGAATTACTGCAAGTTATTTACAAAACTACGCCAAGTTATTTACAGAATTCCAGCAAATAATTTCGCTTCTGATAGTAAGCGTTAAAGGAATATGGAAACTTCCCAGTCCAACGCAGAACTCACGTAGATCCTCGTCGCCATAATGTAGAATTCAGCATCAAGCGTACCGCTATGAAAGAACGACCATCTCGTCCGGTGCCTCGTGATGAACTGATTTTATATGACATAGAAAAGAAGAGAAGAAAGAAGATGGGTTTCTTAAAGTGAGATATGTAGGACAATCAATAGAAGAAGAAGTGAAAGAGAAATAGCAGAACACAACAGTCAGCCCCTTTTTCCTACGTTGTCAACGTTAGCGTACTTTCCATCATTCTGCAGCCTGCACGGCTGCGAGCACACGTGGCTTCGTCTTGTTCATGTCTTATTCGCATGCGCTCTCGTGCGAGGGAGACGCCGAAAAAAGCTCCACGCGCTTTCTTGGTAGTTTTGAAAGCTTCTGAACACTGCGGATACTGCGCTATAGAGCCTTGGCCATGTGGCACCAAAATAGTTGACGCCGAGTATGGACGTTTTGCAGAAGCTGTGAATGGGGGCCGCCATAACCATGCCTTCAGTTTTTGTTTCCTCTTGTCTTGACCACTTCGCTCCATGATTACCACGGCAGGACAGGCTATTGCCATTTCAGATTCGACTGTGCCTTTCTCCCCAGCATTGGCCTTTGTTGAAGCTCGTCAAAGCCCACTTCAACGGCTTGGTATCTCGGTAAGGCCTGATAAGGTCAACAATGGCGGCCGTAATCTGGCGCGTGTGCACCGGGTCTATAATATAGTTTGAGCTTCTTGTGATCTGGCACCAGCTGCCTTTTTGAGTTTTTCACAAAATCAAAACTCCCGTGCGCAAAGAAAAAAAAAGTTACAAAAATTGGGATGACGTTACAAGGGCGACCTAGGAACAGCTAGATAACGAAAGTAATGATTGTCGTGAGAATTATGATAACTGATTACTTCGTCTGAAGAAACAGATAGAGATTAGTGTCAATTATGCTGAAAAATTTTAAATAAAATTAGCTTTTAAATAAATAAAAAAAAAAAAAAAAAAAAAAAAAACCTGAGAAGTGCAGTAGTGTCGAAAATTTCCGGGAGACTCAGAGGACGGGGCTTTTTCTCTTCTTTTCTTCTTCGAAATTGATTACTAGAGATTTGTCTCAAATGTGTGAGAAGCGACTGTGACTGTGAACAATCAGGGGTTTTCCCTGTGACTTTGGATGATTCCAGAGGAATCGGAGACAAGAATCACTTTGTCGTTGTAATGCCTCGTCGTCGAAAACACCACGCCGCTTTTGGAGGAAAAGAGACTGCGGATTCTCGCTTCGTCCCAGAATAAACTGTCTCCAGCAAACTGAACCGATGTACACCGCTGGGTGACTGATTATTTCTCTTCGTCACCAATCACCCCGGGTATATTTTAAGCCCCGCTCGTAGCTCACTTCCTCTACCACGCCATTTCAAAGCGGACTGAAACCCCGTGGACACCGTGTCTGGTTTAGTGGCGGACATGTGGATGCTCCTCTTGGCCGTCGTTTCTGGGCTGTTGCTGTGGTAAGCGAAGCACCGTCGTGCACTCCCATGCTTTAACTATAGTCCCTGACAGAGCGAGAACGGCAAGGAAGAGTTTCAGTTGCCTCGTCTCCTGCGCGCTACCTTCGATAACGGCGTCTGGCCAGCGCCGAGCGCCCACGCGCAGCTAGGGCCCGGCGGGAGGCCGCGGGAGCGTGCAGGAGGCCGGGCGTTCGACTCCCTGCCGTTCTTATCTTCTCAGTGACTATGCATGCAGAATCTGAGGGAAAGAAGGAGTCGAGAGCTCGCGGGGAGGTCAGAACATTGAGCTCTGGTTGGAAGGATTAGGGGGCAGGCACAAAGCCTTCGTCTCCACTGCGCTCGTTGAGCGCGTTGGAACGCAAAACGTTGAGTCCGGCGTTCGCGTTCGAACGGGTTCAACGAGTGCAGTGGATACAAAGGAAGCATCGGCTGTCACGAGCCGAAATCGAATGCCTTGCAGTGCTTGTGGCCACTGTATGAAACGCATTTAAATAATGTCACAGCGGAATTGCAAAGCTTGACGACGAAGTCCCGGGGATCGTATTGTTGGTTGTGTCCCCGCACCAGCGTCACCAAGTTTTGCGAAGGAGAGACTTCAAGCAAAGGTCAGCTACCATCCTTGGAATTCCACCGCGACGAAGACGCTTCTTGGTCAGGGCGTTGAGTTCGAGTATTCTTTACACCAGCTTATTGGCACCAGTAACTGGTGCCAATAAGCTGGTGTAAAGTGAGAAATATTCCTACCCAATATCGGAGTATATGGGAAGTCTTTGTTGTCCGTCCCCTTCTCTGTCTTACCTTCCTTTAGTGGATGGGACAAGTTCAGCTTTCGTTTATAACGTTTTAAACTGGTAGTTTCAAGTTTTTAGAACTTTGGCACCTTAGCGAGGTTCCCACTTTCTTCTAGAATATTTCTGACATTTGGGCAATGTGTAGTTTATATTGGCGGTGCAAAATAAACCCCCGAAAGTAAGACTGCGTCCACACAGAATAGCATATTTCAAGAAGCTCCCATAAAATCTCACTGCTTTTTTTTTCTATTTTTTTTCTAGGCGCTGTTATTACCGGTGCTGGTACTGGACCAGACGCGGCGTGGTTCAAATAAAACTATGGGAAAACATCAAGTTCGCCGTGAGGCAGTACTACATGGTAAAAGCCAAACGAACTCCTACGTCTGGTCTGTCTTAACACCCTCAAGACGGGCACATAGAAAACCATGAACTCATCAGAAATTCCAACATTTTATCGATGTTTCGTCGACTATAACACAGTCTTGATGCAATACTGACGTTCGTTTGGGTCATTGTTTCTGGACTGCTCGGGAATTATGCCAAATTTGGAGATATAGTCCAACAGTCTGGAAGCACCGACCTAAAATACCAATAATGTTACGTCACAGTATGCAAAATACATTGTCAACGTATGACTATAACCCACGATTACAGCCCAATTACGAGGTCTGGAGGGACATTTACCAGAACTACGGGTCCGTTGTTGGGTAAGCTGTAATACTTAATTTTTTACCTATGCGGAGAGAAAGTCGTCTGCTTTCTGCACAGGGATCTCGGTGACGTCAGGACGACGCCGACTTCTGATTGGCTTTGATTGGAAGGATGGTGGGTAGACCTCAATGCTAGATGCCTTTAGGTCTACCCACTATATTTTTTCCAATTAGCCAATACGAGCTCGGCGTTCTGAAATTATCGCAGCCCCTGTGCAAGGAGCAGACGAACTTGCGCTCCGCATAGGCTTATAGTCACTGACAGAATTAGAACGGCAAGAAGGTGTTTCGGCTGTGCCGCCTCCGGTGCGAACTTCCTGCCTTCGGCAACGCTTCGGCGTCGCGTGCATTTGGAGGACGCGCGCGAAACCAAAGCACGGTGGAAGGCTTCGAAAGATACGCCCTGCCGTTCTGGTTCTGTCAGGGACTGCACAGTCTTTGTAACATCCAACCGCCTCCACAGGTTGTTGACTGGCGGAACGCCAACTTTGATGGTGGCTGACCCGGAGCTCTTGAAAGAAATTATGATCACGGACTTTTCCTCCTTCCCCAACACTCAAGTAAGACGATCACGTTCCCGTGACGCAAACGGGTTAGTGGTAGTTTGTTTATGGCAAAGCCTGGCTCTCAGTTTTCTTTTTTAGAAAAATTGAGGTTGATTATTGCGACATTATATTCGGCCGCGTGCATTTATAGCAAAAGCACTAGTGGCGGTAGTACTCTATGTATTCGTCCCAAAGGAATATGTAGGTATTCCTTATGTCGCCATCCACACTTCCATGCAAGCAAATTTGTATAGTCAGTGACAGGTTAAGAAAGAAGTGGAAGCTTCTTCCACCTTTTTCCACTTTAGCAGAGCGAACGCCGAGGAGGGAGAGGGGGGGGGGGGCGACTCTTTCACCAGCGTTTGCTCTGCTGAAGTGGAAATATCTGGGGGGAGCTTCCACTTCGGTCTTAACCTGTCACCGACTATATATATATATATATAAACGAATATGTGCAGATGAATGAACCGTACTTAATCCAATGATTTAAATAATCCAAGTTTTCAGGAACCCGCCGAAAGCCAAAAAATGGCGGAGCCAGGATTTGAACTCTGGGCCTCCCAATGTCCGGTCGGGTGTGCTAACCACTACACCACTCCACCTTAGCTTTCTGGCGTTTCCTACCTGTCTTATTAATGCACAAGAAACGAAATGTGTCCATCGGAGGTGTTCTGGAAACACACGCCGCCGCGTGGAACGCGGTACGACGCTTAGTGTCACGTGGTACGTGCTCGTTTGTGCTCCAGAAATCCTCCCACTGTTTGTCTCGCCCCGTGTACATGTAGTATTCTTTGTTTATGAGCTTTTAGAGACACGGTATCATCATCATCTGCGAGAATCAAGAGCCACGTTATTGAATATACAACACGGGCACTTCACGTCATCGTACGTGGTCTCCGAGGGGGATATAAACGAATATGTGCAGATGAATGAACCGTACTTAATCCAATGAATTAAAGAATCCAAGTTTTCAGGAACCCGCCGAAAGCCAAAAAATGGCGGAGCCAGGATTTGAACTTTGGGCCTCCCAATGTCCGGTCGGGTGTGCTAACCACTACACCACTCCACCTTAGCTTTCTGGCGTTTCCTACCTGTCTTATTAATGCACAAGAAACGAAATGTGTCCAATCGGAGGTGTTCTGGAAACACACGCCGCCGATGATGATGATACCGTGTCTCTAAAAGCTCATAAACAAAGAATACTACATGTACACGGGGCGAGACAAACAGTGGGAGGATTTCTGGAGCACAAACGAGCACGTACCACGTGACACTAAGCGTCGTACCGCGTTCCACGCGGCGGCGTGTGTTTCCAGAACACCTCCGATTGGACACATTTCGTTTCTTGTGCATTAATAAGACAGGTAGGAAACGCCAGAAAGCTAAGGTGGAGTGGTGTAGTAAAATAAAGAAAAAAAAAAGTGGAGTGGTGTAGTGGTTAGCACACCCGACCGGACATTGGGAGGCCCAGAGTTCAAATCCTGGCTCCGCCATTTTTTGGCTTTCGGCGGGTTCCTGAAAACTTGGATTCTTTAATTCATTGGATTAAGTACGGTTCATTCATCTGCACATATTCGTTTATATCCCCCTCGGAGACCACGTACGATGACGTGAAGTGCCCGTGTTGTATATATATATATATATATATATATATATGGAGAGAGAGAGAGAGAGAGAAACGTAGCGCGGGATGACGAAAAGTATATACGACAGAAAAACGCACTTGAGACGGTTGTTGGAGTTCTCAAAACATATTATTCGTAAAGTTCGTCGACGTTTCGGCCTGAGACAGACCTTTCTCAATACTTGAAATTCTCGAAAAAGGTCTGTCTCAGGTCGAAACGTCGACGAACTTTACGAATAATATATGTTTTAAGAACTCCAACAACCGTCTGCAGTGCGTTTTTGTGCCATATATATATATATATATATATATATATATATGTGTGTGTGTGTGTGTGAAGTAAGGTTTTCTTCGATAGAACGCTCCGCAGTACGGAAGCCGGTGGCCATTGTTAAATGTAGGACACACGCGGCGCCAGCTTCCTTTCGTCACCTGACGAAGAGCGGTCCCCGCTCGAAACGTCGTAATAAACTTCGAATTAGTAATTCCGACAGTACGCATTTTTGACATATATATATATATATATATATATATATATATATATATATATATATATATATATATATATATATATACAACAAGAAGACATGCAGAAAAACGGGAGAGAAAAGGAAATGTGTAACCTCTAAGAAAGATACTCAAGCAGCAAAATATATCTGACTAGGAATGAGGTCATACGACCACTGTTTCTATGCATTTGATCGTAAAAAAAAATTAACATAAATACTACCTTTAGGATTTATGTCAATAATTTTTCACGATCAAATGCATAGAAAAAAGGGTTTTATCAACAGACGCCATCTCATGTAACGTCATTTGTTACCATTACGGGTCCATTTTCGATTCATGGACGCTAAACACTCCAGGCTGGGACCCTTTGCAGTAATACATACCTCCTAAAAAACAAGCCCCCCCCTCCCCCTTCCCCCTACGTCATCACTGGTGGATTCACGCGGCGCCGCCTTCCTTACGTCAGTAATATTAATCACGATCGTGTCTTCTCGCAGCGTCTCAGAACGAGCACGACGCTAGCACGAGGCGTCGCCGAAACGAACGCGTCTTTGCGGCGACCCTCATAGAACTTCGGGGTATTTTGCGACTTGGGGCGGTTCGGTGACCCACTACCGATGACGTCACGCGAAGGCCTTCGCATCTGGGTGGTCGCAGCCACCACAGTTGTTGTAGGCCAGTTTTCGGCTGACATCGGTGCGTTCCTTCAAACGTACGTGCAGTTCATCGGACGCTCTGGAGACCCCGTCTTGGACAACATGCTGGTGGCCCTGATGGACGACGAATGGCGGGCGACTCGCAGCGTCGTGGCTCCGACGTTCAGCACCTCGAAAATCAAACACGTACATGAGCCCTTTTTTTCTTTTCTTGGTTTATGTAGTAAGCCACCGAATAAGCTGAACCAATCGTGTGCAGGAAAGGCCCAGAGACTTGCGCTTTTGGAACCGTTTGATTGTTCCATAGCCTCCTACATGCTGGCAAAGCCTAGATCGCCACGAGAAGCGGCCGCCGAAATGGAAAAGGTGGAGCAGCAGACAACGGATGAGGAGAGAGACACGTGACTGGCGCCCCGCTGCGGCGAGACGCCGAAACACACTTCTTCTGAGCGATCAAGTGTGTTTCGGGTCCTCGCTGCTGCAAAAGTTGTGCGCTGACGCTGCCGACAGCAGCGCCATCGCGGTGTGGTGACGTCAGAGAGTTGAGTTGATCCATGGTCAAGTTGTGAAACTCGACGGACCCTTTCCGCATGAGCACCGTTGGTGTTGCTCGAACAAGCACGGGAGCCCGTTTATTGTTATTGCTCGTGCGGAGGTGGTCGTCTATCAGATTCCGTTGTGATGTGAAAAGCAATACCTCGGACAAACGGACAAATATTTAATTGACATATTACGTAAACAGAATCCTAACGTAGACAACTATCGAAATAGCCATTTTCTTTTTCATCGGCACGGTTGCGACGGTGTTCCATTGTTCACCAGTTGATATAATATACGATACGGCGTAGCATGTGTCAGCTCAGCCTCTATTGAACTTGTAAATGAGTAAATTGCGTACTTGCAAGCGGTGGTGAGGCACCGGATCGGCTGAGGGTGGTGCGACAGCACAAGGCACACAGTTTCGTCTATTCCGGGATTCCCGAGAATATAAACCGCTGAAAGTTAGCATACAGTGCTGTCTAGTTCTCCTTCTTTTGTCCTTGTCTCCGAGCGCTACCATGTATTCTTAAAATCATCGCTGCCCGTTATCTGAAGCCTTATCTCGAAATCGTATAGGAAACGGTTTTCAGTCCTCCACAATGGTTAATACAGTCCGCGGCAGGGCAAAACGGTATCCCCCGAGCTTCCTGACGCAGTATCTGGAAATGGCACTTTTCAAAAGCCCATCAAGCAATATAATAATTGGGGTTGTGGGGATAGTTATACAGCGTGTAGTTAGTCTGCCATTAAAGTTGCGACGAGTCACACGCTGTAGATGAGCAATTTAGCCAGTGCAGTACAACCGCTAGCCTGGGGTCTTTAACGTGCACCACGCAGTAGTGATACACGACCGCACGCCGGTACGATGCTCATCCAGATCGAAACGGGCAGGGGTGGGGCTCGAACCCAGGATCCCTGGGTTCTGCAGCGCGTCGAGCTGGGTGTGCGCTTCAGCCCACTCGGCCACCGATCCCCCCATCATAAAGCAATATTGGCGGCTCGTGTCCAATACGTGCTGAGAGCACGTGATCAAGCAGTGGCGGAGAGAAGGCGTGGGCGCGGACCTTTTGAAAAGGGTCTATTGCGCCTCCTCTGGACGAAGCAACAGAATGGCGGTGCTCACAGGGAACTCGAGAAACAAAATGCTGGTACTCTAAACGCATATCCTATTGAATAGTGTCTAGTTAAACGAGCATGGTGTTTTCGGAAAACTGCACGAGTCGAGTGACAGAGTTTTGATGTGTGCCCGTTGTCCATTTTCAAGATGGTCCCGGTTCTGAATTCCTGTGCTCAGGACACCGTCCAGAGCTTTTGCGACGTCGCAGCGAAGGGTGTTCCGTACGACGTTAAACAGTGAGTAATCCGAAGAGTATATAATCATCATCATCATTATTCATTACGCGTTTCAGAGCGCGTACGTGCATTACAGAAAATGAGAGGGAGAAGAACATCGTGAAAACGAAATGCAGAAATTGTCTTCGAGACATTGTTACGCAAAAAGAACAAACGATGCACCAAACCAAGCAACGCAAATGGTACGGTCGTGCTAAGGACAAATGTGAGCACCAGTAGACCCTTAAAGCCATGCAAACGGTCGGTGAATTGTGCTACAAATGTGGCATGGTCGTTTCGGGCCCCAATGGTGTTAGGAAGACTGTTCCAGTTACACCAGTTCGGCAATTATAAATAGGGTTCCGTGTTTTTAGGTAAAATAATAATAATAATAATAATAATAATAATAAATTTATTGCAGGTGCTTAAACGTCTTCAGAGTATCATTTCGGGACCGTCAAAGTCCTAAAGACTTGTAGGACTGATCCCAACAAAATATCAACAAAAGCACGCATAACAATGAAAAAAAAAAAAACACACACACACACAAAGAAAACCAAAAAACACAGAACAAAGAAGTTACAGAGATTCAGAGACGCGACAAGGTAAATATCGTTAAAGACGAATTGCACAGAACAAACTCATTACAAAAAGTCTTGAAGGTTGACGCTATTTTCCTATGGGCGAGCACATAGTCTTCAGTTTTCTTTTTAACTTTCCACGAGAAGTAATGTCACTCAGCACAGGTGGGAGTTTGTTAAAGGTGTTTGGAACATAATAACTACGAATGCATGTCCCAAAATGAGTACTAATTCGCGGCGTGGCATATGGTGCCACTTTCCGAAGGTCACGACAAACCACGTTGGGAACCTTAAAGGTATTATCCCAGTAATGTCGGAGTATAACGGTATGCAGAAATAGGGCTCGGAAGGATGGTAAAGAGAGATCATCAAAGATGTTGTCGGATGTTTGAATATTGGAGCCATATGCCACGCTACGCAAGATGCCCTTTAGGAGAGAATTCACTTTAGTTTCTAATAGGTTTGTGCATTGCCCGAACAAGGTAATTCCATATCGAAGCACACTATAAACGAGTGCGTGCACAATGAGTCTTCGGGTTGACATGGGGATAAATGTTCTTATATTGTAAAGGGTGCAGGATGCTGCTCGCAGCTTCTTCATGATGTAGAAAAGATGGGAGTTCCACGATAAATCAGAGTCAAAATAAATTCCTAAGTATTTTGTAGTGTTCACGTAATCTACTGGCACACATTCACAAGAAGCACAGTCTGAGGCGTGCAGAAGTATTGGCTTGTTTAAAATGACTCTTTTAAGCGGACTAGAAAAGCACATTAGTTGCGTTTTTTTCGTGTTGACGCTAATGACATTTCTCGAAAACCAATCCATGATCTTAATTGAATCAAACTGCAGTAATTCTACTGTCTTACTATAATGTAAATGACTTGATAGTAGAACGGTATCGTCTGCATATTGAAATATCTTACTGTATTTCACTGCCTGGGAAAGGTCGTTGACATAAATATTAAAAAGAGGAGGCGAGAGCACAGACCCCTGAGGTACGCCAGATTTCAAAGATATTTTAGCACTGTATTGTCCAGATATCGAAACCAGTTGTGTTCGGTTTGACAGAAGGTTTTTAAGCAGGGAATAAAATGGACCCCTGAACCCTAAGCTAAGGAGTTTTTTCAAAAGAAATTTGTGTGACACAGAGTCGAAAGCTTTCGAAACATCTAAGAAAAGCGCACACGTAACAAGATTATTTTCGAAGGCAGTGTTCAACAGATCGGAGAAGTCCTCAAGAAGAGGTTGTGTGCCTTTTCCGATAACGAAACCATACTGCTGTGGGGAAAAAAGATTAAATTTATCCATAAAATCAGTCATTGTTATAAAAATATGTTTCTCCAAAATCTTCGCTATTGAAGGCAAGATCGAGATAGGGCGATAGCATTCGACCTTACCGTGATCTCCACTTTTAAATAAAGGCTTTACAATGGCTATTTTAAGGTCGTCTGGAATTATGCCTGAAGCTATAAAACCGTTCAACGTCCGTAGAAGTATATCTTTTAGTGAGTTGTAATTTCTACACAGATCGGACATTCGTACACCATCAATTCCAGGAGACAAACGAGGTTTAAAGCTGAACAACATAGTTTGTAGCGCTTGCTCAGTTATTCCAGGCAGGAAAGCGGACGATACATTTGGAATGATTGAGAGCGAGAGATCTACTTCATTATCGCGCGATATGCTTGAGGTCTTTCCGAAATAGGTGTTGAAAGCATTGGCTGCAGAGAGAGGACAACACGGGAAATACTTTTCCACGGTTTCGTCAACTGAACGTCTAGCACGGGGACCATCACGGAGTTCGTTGACAAGAGACCAAGTTACCCGGGTGTCAAAGCGGGATTCAACTAACTTTGCTTTGACATAGATACGCTTAGCTGATTTGATCATTGCGGTTACTCTATTGCGTTCAATTTTAAATTTGATACGCAATTCCTCGCTCTTCGGTGACTGTCGACTGCGCGTCCACAAAAGTTCTTTATATTTGGTTGCGGCAATAATGTCATCATTCAGCCACGCGAGTTCAGGTCGACGCTTTTTAACGATAATTACTTTTGTACTGCAGTCAGTAAAAGTTCTCCATAGCTGAATGAACTTTGAATAAATCTCCTGTTGACTAAAAGACCGCAAGAAATTGTCCCAGTCATATGATGCGATTAATTTGTCAAACGCTTTGCGATCAAAAATTTTTACTTGTCTCTTTTTAGAACAGGTGGTTTTGACAGAATCCTTTGAGAGCAGTTGACAAACCGTGAAGTAGTGGTCCGCGAGCTTTTGTGAGACAACCGCAGATTTAACTGAAACGCCGTGGGCACGTACATTAATGTGATCTAGACAGGAAGTGACAAAGCTACTATTGAAATGTTCCTCCCTGGTAGGGGCTTGGATAGAATTTACAAGGCCAAATTCAGCAAGTATATTGAGATAGTCGCACACAACAGCCTTTGTAGGATTTAGAGTGTCAATATTAAAGTCTCCAAGCAGACATATATGTTCCGTGGCCTGCAAGCCAGTCAGACATGCTCTCAATTCTTCCAGGAATAAGGAGACGCGTTCAGATGGGGGACGGTAGCAGGCGACCATCGTTAAGGAATATCTTGAGTTAAAAATATTCAGGGCTATACATTCCGCATGATTAAATGTAAAATTCAGTTTCAAAGCTTCCCACGAATCTTGGACGCATATTGAAATAGCACCTCCTGTCCTGCAAGGACGGATGAAAATAAATTCTCTGTAACCAGGCAGTGAAAATTGACTAATTAAATCTTTTGGTAAATTTATCTGCTTTAAGACCCAAACATCCACAAGGGATTTCAAAAAAATCACAGTAACACAAAACTGGTCCCAGTATTTCCGAGCACTTCGAATATTAATGTGAACAAGGGTAAGTGCATTAACTGAAGACAAGTCGAAATTCGCAAGAAGCGAGTTAAAGTCTTGGAAATTAGAAAACGATGAGGTCATATCCGTTAGACAATCAGTTCCAAATCACCCACAGAATTAATGCGAATGACTGTAGAATTTTGTGTCTTTTTTGCATAAATCTTTGCATTTTTCACGCAGACGTATTTATATTGCTTTTCGTTTCCCCTCGACCTTGCCCTCCAGAAAAGTACCCTGTTTGCATGGGTGAGGTTCTCGTTAAAGAATAGTCTTGGCAGTTCTTTCTCACGTGCAAGAGGACCCAGTAAACGACGAGAGCTTAACCAGCGTTCTCTGGTCTGCACTGCCCGAAACCTCACCAGAATAACCGGGGTGGCTCTTCGAGTAGAGGGCAGGCGATGGACGGTATCAATTTCCGAGGTCTGAAAATTTTGTATGCCGATCTTCTGGGCTATGTCACATAATATGGATGGAAGGTCTTCTTTAGGGCTGCATGGAAACCCATGAGTCTCTAAATTAGACTGCCGACTAAATTGCTCGGAGTTATTGAGCTCAGCACGAAGGAGCTGAATCTCCTGTGACTGGGCCGACAAAGTGGATTTAAAAGACCCAACCTCAGTTTGCAGCTCAGCCACAGTGGCCTCATTCTCAGGCACTTTCTTTAAAAGAGAGTCATACTGAGCTGAGTGAAAAGCAATGGATTCCAACACCTCAGCTATGGACCTTTCCATGGTGTCTACAGCGGATTTGACGGCCAGGAGCTCCTCGACTTTTGCAGGAAGCTGAAGTAGCGTGTCGACACTGCTCTTGAGAGAAAGAAGCAGGTCTAATTTGTTGTTAACCTCTGCTAACTGCGAGGAAAAAGACGTAGATTCACTCTGCGAATTCGCTCCCGCGCTTCCTGCATTCGACTTGTTTGCAGACGGGCGCGGCAGAGGTGACAGCACCATTGCTCGCGCTTCACGGAGCTCATTGCATTAAATGTACTGGCAGAAACACCAGCACAAGACTTTCCAAGATGAAAGCTGTTTGAACAGCTCGTGCATGTCATCTATCTGCCATCCAACGGTACCGGTAGTGCCACTAAATAAGCTACGCTTCAGAGTAACGCCACTTGGCCATATTGTGTCGTAAAATCATGGTTGCCAGTTATCTGAAGCTTTTTCAGAAATCACAGGAAATGCTTTTTTGCCCTCCACAAATGTTTAAACCGTTCGCGACAGAGCAAAGCAATATTACATGACCTTCCTAACACCGAATGTAATGCTGAGGAAGTCGCACTTTTGAATCATGACGATCGGCCGTTGCGTCTGTTCTGCATACGAGCCAAAATGGCGGCGCCCACAACAATGCCGGGGAACGGAGTGCCGATACTCTAAGCGCAGCTTATTTAGTGGCTCTAGGTACCGGCTCATGACACTTAAAGCATCCTGTTGAAGACATGGTCGGATGACACAAGTAAAACGTGAGTGAAACAAGCTTCAGATAAAGGCGCTGTGAATACCGACAAATAGGTCTACCAGCCCAACCAGAAAGTATCCTAACACACGCGCTCACTTTGCTTAGTAGAGACAGCGTCTGGTTTCTAGATTGCCGTTATTGAGACTTGAGAGGCGAAGGTGAGGCACTCGGTACCAAGACAGCACACCGTGAGATCTGTGCGCGTAATGAGCGCACGATTCCCACCGTGAAAGCAGTGTGTCCGGTGATCATTAGGTCTGATGGCGTAGGCGAATGAAAAGGGCCCTCACTTGGCGCAACAGCGGAGTCGGCGTGGAGCGCTGGCTTGGAGCGATATTCAACACTCCGATGCCGGGCACGCAAGGGGCCTCAGTGGGGACAAGCAGGACGTCGAAGACATGGTGGCGATCGTGCAGGCGGTTCAGCGATCGCCTCAGACCATTTGCCCACTTTACGTAGAGGGTAGGATGTCGATCGACGGTCCCATAGAGGCTCCTTTTCTTGTCCAGGTGGTAGGACTTCGCCAGAGGTCTTAAGTCGACGAAATAATTAGAATCAAAGTTAATATTTGGCAGCTATCAAAAGGAACGCCGGAGCCCGGCGACTTCTTCTTCTTCTCTTAAAATAATAATAATAATAATAATAATAATAATAATAATAATAATAATAATAATAATAATAGTTTTATTCCACATAATAATAATAAAGGATAATAATAATAATAATAAAGAAAACCGCACAAACTCACCGGAATATTTTTTTTCTAAATTCGAATTTAAACTTTTTAAAATTAAAAATAAGCTAGAAACAATACACAGAACATAAATCCATCGCGTTGCTCTTCTACATAAAGCGTCAGGTTAGAGGCTCTGAGGAGAAGCAGTCCCGTTCTCCTTTCCAATCACGGACGACTAACAAACGTCCGTTCAGGACAGCGATGATCTTGGCAGAAACCAACATGTGACCGCGCTAACCTATGTTCTTGTCTGAAATGAAAGAGTCTACTGTTTCGTCTTCTATCAGTTAGTAGAATCTAGTGAGCTTTTTTTTTTTTTGCATAAAATCGCACCCATAATTATGCAGTTCCCGCAATTAGTATAGTTTTCTGTGTCTGGATGGGCATTTGTAGATATTATAAATTTTTTTTTTTTTGTTCGCAAATTTTGAGAATTACAAATATCGTAAAATTACGCTGGGATGAGCACCGTACTTCAGAGAATTTTAAATCTTTATATTTTTTATTAATGAACGAGACATTTTTCTATACTTTGTTAGGCGGTTACACTCTAAAAAAATCCTGTGCGTCTACTTTTCCGCACAACACCTCGGAGAGCCAATCACCGCAACTTACGGAGGCAGGTGAGCGAATGACGATGCCGAAACATATGTTTAGACCAAAAAACGCAGTCTGAGTTGTGACATTAAGCAATGCAAAACGTCACGCTTGCATTGCTTAATGTCACAACTCAGACTGCGTTCATTCGCCTAAACATATGTTTCGGCATCGTCATTCGCTGAGCTGCCTCCATAAGCTGAGGTGATTGGTTCTCCTAGTGTTGAGCGGGAAAGTAGGCGCACGGGCTTTTTTTTAGAGTGTAGCGCAACCGCACTCACGTGACGTCAAAAAAAAAAAAAGGAGTTTGTCTATTGGATGTTATCGGTGTAGTCCTCAGTGTCGGTTTTGTGCACGTTGTGCTAGAACTGAGGCTAATTACACCTGAAAAACTTTCTCGACGCTTCCTTCCAGGATCTTTACGGCCTACGTGCTAGACGTGATTGCGCAAACAAACTTCAGCATTCGCCTGGACTCCCATCGAGACGCCAATAACCCGTTCGTGGTCCAGGCCAAACGAATATTCGGCACCGAGAAGTGGAGAGCCTTCTTTTGCTGTAAGCTGCGCCCGTAATTCCCGCTTCTACCCTATAGTTACGACGGAAAGGACGTACTCTGCATAGGATATCTGTATTCATCTCCTCGACTTATCCTGCGTCTTTACAATTTATTTGCCGTCTTCATTCCTCATAGATTACTTGCCCTCAAAATATATCTTAGCTTGTGTAGGGTGCCAGCTGAACACAAAGGACGAACACACAGAGAGATAGAGAAAGTAGATTCCTCTATTAAATGAAATGTAATATTTGCAAAGAAAAAGACGATCTTAATTAAACAGTTGCTAGTCCAGCGGAGTCTTTGCTTTTCTGTCTACGTAATCTCCCTTCAAGCTCAGCTGGCACCATAAGCAAGGAATAAATCAACTAGCTCAGCTGTGAGCCGTCACAAGATATGTTAGCTTTTGTAAAAAGGAACTCACGAACAATTAGTCGACGATAATGGTACAATTTCTCGCAGTAAATGCCACCAGTCGAATTTTTAAATTTTTTTTATTTTACAAATACATTTGTATCTGTAAGCGTAGACCGTATTCTTTGCAAATAAAAATCAAATTCGTTGTGTACAGGCCAGTACAACACGAAGGTGTCTGGTGTGACATACGTCAGCTGTTGGTAGAGGGGCAATTTAGCGAGTGCAAGTAAGACTGCGTGTCGCTGGCACAGAGGGAAACCGACCAGTGCATTATTTAACTGCAATGAATTTTTCTTGTTCTCAGTCCAGTTTCCACGCCTGAGCACCGCCCTGGGTCTTCGAATATTTGCGCCAGAAGCGATCCACTTCTTCGCCGATCTCATGACGGACCTGCTGCAGCGGAGGAAATGTTGCACCGAAAACGTGAGTGGGTCTGACTCGTCACACTCTACTCTGATCGCGGTGATCCCCATTCGATACAGAGTCACTAAGTATGCCACACTTCAAAGTAACGACACTCTAGCCATCTTGGTGCTTAAACCCATTGTTGTTAGTTTTCTATAAATTTATCTTAAATCGCAGAGAAACATGTTTTAATTATTTACGAAAATATTAAAGCGGTCCGCAAGAATGCAAAACGACATTGCACGAGGTTTCTGAAACTGCATCTAAACGTCAAAAAGTAAAATTTTCGAATTGTAACGAACGCTAATAGCGCACGCTTTGCACTGAGCATCAAAATGGCGGCGCCCACAAGAAGATCGGGGAATACTGCGGTGATACTCTGAGCGCAACTCAATAACTGGCTCTATCGATACGATACACCGTTGCATTCAGCCAATCGCAGCCTTTGGAGGTTCCGTCTTAATCCTCCGTCACCAGGAAATGCAAGACTTCATTCGTCTCCTGATGAACGCCGAGCCAACGGACGAGGATGACCTCTGCGCGGTGGAAAACGGTGGGGCCAAGCCGGCTAAGAAACGAGGTATTCCTCTTTGCCGAGGCTCGCGAATCCTGTTGCTCGTATCTTGCACCCAATACAAAAGTATAGGGACTGTTGACTGGACGCAATATTTGAGGTTATTGGTACACCGCATGCTCAGAACTATTGCTCCTATTTATCGTCTGCGAAGAAGCAACGACGCTACCTTAGGGAATATATAATAATGATATATCTACGAAGTCCCCAAGAACGTATAAGATTAGAGAAATATGGATATAGCACAATAGTCACCGACCGACAGCTTAAGAACAGCAGGATGAGGCGACTCCCGAGCACAGCCTTATCTCTTCTCAGCCAATCAGATTTCGGCATCGGCCAATAAGAACGCAGATGAGCGAATCACAAAGCAAGAAACACGAACGTAATAAACCGTTCCCTGCGTTCTTTATACTGTCAGTGACTATAACAAGATTTACATACGTTTTAACAGACTTAATCATTCGAAAAATCATGTAAGACTTTTTCTGCTTCTTTTCGCTAGGGTGACTGGGTAGGATGGCGTCCATAAACGTGCATTCCACCCAATTAAGTTCTTGGCAGACAATAAATTAGAGCTTCGCGGAGTGCAAGTTCGTCCGCCTGTTTTGCGGGGGTTGCGGTGACGTCAGAAAGACGCCGAGCTATGATTGGCTCTGATGGGAAAGATAGGGGGTAGACCTCGAGGCAACTAGCGTTGACGTCTACCCACTATCCTTTCAATCAGAGCCAATCAGAGCTCGCCGTCCTTCTGACGTCACCACAACCGCTGCGTAAGAAGCAGACGAACTTGCGCTGCGCGGATCTTCGTTTTACTTGAAGTCCCAGCGCAGCCAATGCTGCGATCCGAATGAAGCCAATCAATCAGCGCCGAAAAGTGCATTGTCAAGGCGCTCGCTGAACTTGTGCGTTTGTAATCACCGGCTAAAGCAATTACGCACAGAAAAAAAGTCAACAAAAAACAGGATCGCAATCGCTGAGCGTAGTCGGTTTAGCGGTGAAAGCAAACGCGGAAAGGCGACGAGCGCCGCGAATCGCGATGATGCACGCTTGGCGCTGATTGATTGGCTTCGTCAGATCGTAGCGTTGGCAGCGTTTGGGACCTAAAGTGAAACGGAGTTATAGTTGTGGTCAGACGCAGCACACTTTAAACGGGGACGGCGTCGTAGTGTTGTCCAGGGACCAGATCCTCGCCCAAGCCGTCCTGTTCTTCCTGGCCGGGGTGGACACGAGCGCCAATACTCTGGCCATGAGCGCCTACCACCTGGCACTCAACCAGGACGTCCAGGAGCGACTCGTGGAAGAAATAGACCAGGCCCTCCTCACGCACGTGAGTGCACGGACGGCTCACGAGACGGCCGTGTAGGTTCAACGATAGAATAAAAGCAGGTTCGCACCCTCGCGACTGGTTACGACCGAGTGCCTTACGACCCGTTGATATGTTTTGCGAGGACAGAACAAGCTGGCGCCATCTATGACGTTGCCCCGGAACTGCGTCTCACTGCAAAGCGTAGGTTTTGCGGCATTTATGAGGTGAAGTAATATTTGAAGTAGGAGATTTTACCAAAGTTTGAAACCGTTTGCACGCGTAGTCATGCTAACAAACGCTTTTGACGCTGGGGTGTCGAAGCGCTGGGATGGTGGTGTCCTGTGCTTTTCTCTGCTCCAGTACAAAAAGCTGGATGATGGAAATAGAATATATAACGTTTTACTTCACTACAACTTCTACCATGATGATTATGGTATATATTTTACTATAATTAAAAAAAAAACTAAGTTAAGGAATGTATTATCAAATTAAAAATAGGAAAGTGAAAGCGAAATTCGAGAACCTTTCGCGTGTGTAGTAAACACTTCAGTGAAAGCGACTCCGTGTATCCTATTGGTTCCAATGTGTTTTGTGAGTGCCGGTGTCTTATTGGTTTAAAGTTGATTCCTTTTTGAATTTTGAAAACCACTAAGCAAACATTTTCTCTGTATAACCGGGAGGAAGAAGCGGCGGCTGGTTTCCGGAGTCGTTTCTATTAAATCCGTGCTTAATCATCCGGTCGACGCGAAACGTGCGAGACCCCCTCGAGATTGAAGTCTCAGATCTAGTAAGAAGGTGACACTTCAGCGTCCCCCAAAATTTAGGTGTACTCCTGCTGTGAATTACTATCATCTGTATGTTTAATTTTGCGGACCCAAATGCGCATAATGCGTGATGCGTTTCTCAGTGAGCGATTAAAAATTTGTAAACAATTCTTAGTAAAAATTGCATGCGCAAATTAATCAATTGTCCGAATTTGTCGGGTCATGCCCGACAATTTAATATTTCATAACAATTTCTGCTTTTCACTCGCCCAACTTACTACACTTCTGCTTTTCTTTCGAGCAGAATTCACGATGTGACAAACTTTCTCGCCACGTATTCGACGCGGGAGGAGCTAAACGCCAGTTGCTCGTCATTAACTGTCGAGTCACACTTGGATGGAACCGTCCGTATCGGCAAACTCAATGTAGCTAAAAGAAGTGCGCGGCGCTTTGCAACACAAGTTACACAGCTGTGCGCGCGTACACAGCTAAAACGACAGCACGTCATTTACTCTGGAGAATGCAAAACTTTTTTTTACAGCAACCTTCACAGATCCGAAAGAACAGGATCAGAGAGCCTGTGAATAGCCTTGAGGCACGCCGCGGAAGCTGCAATGTGAAGCTGCTGCCTTGTTTTTGAACATTCGAAAGTTTCTTTTTTTTATATAAAAAATGAAAGCCGTTTACAACTCCCTTTAACGCCGAATTAGAGGGCTGCTCTTGAGGAGGAGGAGGGGAAGGTGCGGAGAGGGGGCTTCCTGCTGGCCCCCATTTAGGAGAAAAAGTTTCAGCTAAATATAGCGGGGAAAATTTCCCACTAGATTTAGCGGTGAAATTTTTTCGCTAAATTTAGCGGGGAAAACTTTCCGCTAAATTTACTGGGGAAATTTACCCATCATGCACCGCGCCGTTACGCCGACGGCGACGGCGACGCCGACGCCGCTCAAGCCGGAAACGGGCGCCTAAGAGCTGCGCTCTAAAAGCAACTTTGACGCGTTGTTATTCATGAGAAAGATCACTTACCGAAACATTATACACGTTTCTTTAATACATAAACCGATTTTAATCTGTATAGTTGCGAAGTAGCATAGCCACTCCGTGCTTTGACATCGTGCGTCGTCTGCTCGCATTCTCGTCACAGGGGGGCGCCCGTGAGGTGGCGCCACCAGAACATCTCCTCGCCGATAGGTCTGAGAGAGGGTCGAAAATCCCAAATCGTGGAGTGTATTCGGAATTTATTGGCAAACACCTCCTGCGCAGGTTGGTTGTACGGTCTCCATCAATATGAAAGACCCATTCGACAATGCAGTTTAAGCCGGCATAAGTAAATGAATCAACCTTTGTTTTTTTTCTCTCCCCCGAAATAACGTGTCCCTGGCTAAAGTGTGCCTAGCACCACCCTATATATTGCCTCAACGTATGGGTATTGTATATTGACGGAGGCTGTACGCTCGCATTCGTGTGTCGTCACACGGCGAGAATGAAAGCGGGAGGAGTGGCTGGACAAAGGCTTGTGACGTTGGCAAACGAGCGACGCCTTCGCCTTTTCCTCGCGTCTTCTACTGCAAACGCGGCTCGTAAACCACGTGACCTCAATCGATCCGTTGGAAACACTCTCGGATGTAGGCACACTCAACAAACAGAGCGACTCTGGCGCCACCCTTTGTGTCCACTGGCAAATGGTGTTACGTTAAACCCCCAAATATTTTCCCTTTGATTCGGTTATTGTTAATTCCCTTAAGACTAAATCAGCGCTACACGTGTCACAAGTTCTTTTTGGGTTTCTGCACGAGTTCAAAAGACGTTGTTTTAGTAAAGATGATGCCTGAAGTCGGCTCAAAGTTTTTGTTTTATTTTGCTAATGAAGGTTTCTGTATTCAATTGTCCACACGCGAGGACTTCACGAATAAATAGATGCGATGCTGTGTCGAGAACTTGGAGACTAAAAATTGGAGAATAGTGAATGTCTCGTCGGCTCATACTTTGTCGACGTCTGTCCACCGCTTTCCAGAAAGACATCACGCTCGACGTTGTCATGGGCCTGCCATACCTGGATGCGTTCGTGATGGAAGTGCTGCGCATCAGCGGGCCTGTCACGATGTAAGTGGCATGTGTACCAGCTCACACCAACTCATCGTTTGAAAAAAAGAGCGCTTACCCGCTAGAGGTGTGGGAGCTGCACGCGTGCGCGGGAATTCGTTTCTTGTAGAAGGAAGCAGATGTGCGTGTCGTCCCGTACAGAGTAGCCTTTGGTTTGACTCCATTGCGGGGGCTCACGTCGCGGTACGACTGCGAGGTATCACGGCAACCAAGAGACGCGGTTGCCATGGTAGCTGTCACTCGCGTGAGTAGGGCAATGCATATCCGCAGTCAACTGGTGGATGCGGATGAAAAGAAATCAGATTTGGCGGATTGCGGATCGCATGCGGATATCTGCGGTTCCAGATCTACATTTTTTGCCGAGGCGACCCTTAAACGTGCGCGACCGCACTGTAGAGTGAATCAGTGAGTGATACCATGAAGTGCATCATCGAATTGTTTGCGGGAGCAAATTACTCTTTTAGGAAAAAGGTGCTAATCGGGGAAACAATTGTTTGTTTGTTTTTTTACGCCAAGAGAGACCCGATTATCACTCAAGATCGCTTTAGAGCGTTCTCTCCCGCCAACAATGCAGTCCCCAGAGAAAGTAAATAATGCCGCGGGGCGTCAATCGTCCCGGGAAAGCGTATTCCTCTCGGGAAGGAAAAAAGCGAAAGACGTTCTTCGGCAAAGAGAACCCAAAACGTTCAAGCCGCGAGAAAGTAGAGGAAGCCTCATCAGCAAATAAAACGTGCCGTGTTTTTTTTTTTTTTTTTTAGATTGTGTTTTTAATGCTTTTGTTTCCGGGTTTAGCGCCGTCGGCGTCGACGTCGACGTCGGCGTAACCGCGCGCGTTGCATTATGGGACGTTTCCCCATTCAATTTGGCGGAGAAGTTTTCCCGCTTAATTTAGCGGTTATGTTTCACCGCTAAATTTAAATTTAGCGGGGAAAGGGAGGAAGGGAAGGTACGGAGGAAGAGGAGGGGCATAACCTCCCCTCCATACCCTCCCCTTCTCCTCCTCTTCAAGAGCTGGGCTCTAGTTTCGCATTACAGAGATTTGTAAACGTCTTGCTTTTTTAGCTCTGTCTTATCGCTTGTCGTCCACAAAATAAAAAAAAGTAGCAATGTTGTTTTCTTTTTTCTGGGATTGATTGAGTTGCATTATTCAGTTGTGCGCACATGTCCGAGATAGATTTTACCTTATGCATCGGCAATTTATATGTGTGACCACTTTTATACTGTCATTCTCTAAATGCTTACAACTCTTATTTTGTTATACTGTTAAACGTAACCCCAATTTTCGTTGTAAAATAGAGAAAAAAAAAACTAGGAAAGTTTGCGCATCCACTGTACTTGATTGCTTTAGCCGGTGAGAGTACATGCCCAGAAAGACGACGAACACCGTGCCATTGCAGTTTTTGCGAAGCTCGATTGACCGCATCGGAAGGTGGAACGACACGTGTGCATATCTGATGTCTCACGCAGGACTTACCGCACCTGTGTCAAGGACACCAGAGTGGGCACGATCCCAGTCGACAAGGGCACCCTCGTTCGTATTCCCATCTACTCCCTCCATCACGACCAGAGATACTTCCCGGATCCAGAAGTGTTCGATCCGGGCAGGTATGTGCAGTCGCGACGCCGCAGAATAGCAGCAGCAGCAGCCGCGCAGGATTCAATATGTCGGGCACTTGGCAATCGATTATTATTTGGGAAAATAGTCGCGATCTCTTACCTTTCTTTTTTGTTGTTTCAAGTTACCGGCACCAAATACAAACGGAAACATGCAAATGAGATTCCCGACGCGTGTAAACTTGCGTACCGGGAATCTCGGGGGTGGTCCCCGAGATTCCCGGTACGCATGGATGGAGTGATTGTTCAATTATTGTAACGCGGCGCAACTCATATCCTGCTGAAGGGAGCCAGCAACATTATGACATTCTGTTTGAATTTTTGGGGTTTCTTTTCTCTTTACCATGTGCTTGAAAATGTTACCTCATTGTTTTCATATGTCGGCGTTCTTCCTTGCGGCAATGTCGCCAATCAAGGAGAGTTCCGCGATGCGCAAGTTGTTTCCCGGGAGGCGAATTTATTTTGTATTTTGGGGACACTGTCCAAACTGGGATGTTAAAGTTGACTGGGCGCCACATTTAAACATGTTGTTAACAAATCATAATCAGACCTACACTTGTTTTTATACACAATGTACAGCGCTGTCAAAGTTATCTGCGCCTATACGTTCCTCTATTTAGCACCTCATTCGCGGTGGAGCCCGCGCAAATGAGAGTGTTCATCAATTAACAAGCTCGTGCTAGCAAACTCGATAGCGTTGTAAGCTAATCGATAAAAATTATTCACTCGGTTCAGTGATTTCAATCAGCACGAGCTCTCACTTGTCATCTGCCAAAGCTCAAGGACGACATCTTGAGGTTGCGGTGAAATGCACCATGTGAAAGCGTCGCGGAAGCTGACCTTCAGCACGCATGCAGCCGCAATGGACTCTGCCAGTGACGTCCTGGAAAACTATGGTTAAGGATTTGTTTTTTGCTCTTTACGTTTGCAGGTTTCTGGGAGACAACCGCAAGCTGATCCAACCATTCACCTACCTGCCTTTCGGCGAGGGACCACGCCAGTGCGTGGGAATGAAGTTCGCTCTTTTCAAGGTCAAGTTCTGCCTGTTTCACGTGCTCTCGAAGATAAGATTCCAAGTGTGCCCCGAGACCGACGTAAGCTATCACTTCGATACTGTATTTTCAGTGTCGAATCGCTTATCTGAAGGCATATCGTTTCTTTCTCTGTTCTCAGATCCCACCGACGCACCAGCCCGTGATTCTGGTGATGATTCCAGAGACTGTCACATTGAAAGTGACCAGAAGAAAACCGGCTGCCGTCCACTGTGCACTTCTATCGGAGTGAAAATATATCGGGTATTTCGTGAAGAAAGATAACCGTGTTCTTCTCTCCGCAGAAATGAACTATGCGTCGGCGAACACTGTCTCCGCAGCTTGATTCACATGGTGAAATTTTATATGCGATTAACGTAATTGCAGAATCGCTCGTGCAAAAAAAAAAAAAAAAAAAAAAAAAAAACGTGGGAAAGTTGCGGTGCCCAACGTCGCAGCTGTGAATTCGCAAGCAAAATCGCACCATCTGCATTGGGCTTATCTGTAGCGCTAGTGGTTGGGACCAAAAGCATGATGTAGGTTTCAGTAATTACCGTTATCCGATTAAAAAGTTAGGAGTAATTTCCGGAAATTTTCAACGAGGAAGTGACTGCCAAGGAAGCCAACAAATGCGTGGGATGAATGGCGTCTGTCTCGTTAAGAAAATGTCGAAAATCGCTTGAACATTTGAATTATAGACGCTTCGCAGCAGCTGTGTATGAGCGCCGCCATAACCTACATATCCAGCTTTTGTTTCCTCTTATTCCGTTCACTTCATTATTACCCTAGCAGGCCAAGTTATTGCCACCTTAGATTTGATTGTGTCCTTCTCCCCAGCATTGGCCCTCGTAGAGGCTTGTCAACGCCCTTTGCAGTGGCTTGATATCTCGGAAAGGACAGGAGAACGTCAATGCGGAGATCAAGTCGTCTGCTTTTCGCGCAGGGGTTTCGGTGACGTCAAAATGACGCTGAGCTCCGATTGGCTTTGATTGGAAGGACAGTGGATGGACCTCAATGCTAGATGCCTCGAGATCTACCCACTATTTTTTTGATACTGCCAATAAGAGCTCGCCGTTTTGACATCACCAAGAAGCAGACGAACTTGCGCTCCGCCTAGCGGCTATAATCTGGCACGTGTGCAAAGCGTCTATAGAAGGGCAAGTTCTTAAAACAAGACGCGCCGTAGAACGGGGAAAGATGGTGAGGGAGACAACACGAAGCCTTACTTTCAACTGAATGTTTATTAAAATAATAATATTAACAACAACAATAACAACAAGACTATGAGGTTGCTTGCGTACACATACAAATTAATTATCGAATAGAGGAACTGGCGGTGCAACATTTGCTGTCACCCCACAATTTAATGCTGTGATTTATATAAGTCTCGCGATATTTCTCGCTAAAAAAAAAAAAAAATTCTTGAAACGTTAAAGGGACCATGAAATGACCTTTTTACTTTTTCCAGATAACTTTTACATTAAACCGTCAATGTTCACTGAATGCCGAACAGGCATCCGTTTTCGTCTCGGTTTATTAACTTCTACACAACAAATTATTGAAATATCGACTTTTTCATTCGCTCCAACTGACCGCAAAAGAAGCCGTGACGTAGGCCGTTTCCGGAACCGGAAGTTCTCCCGGCAGTAGGAGAATGGGAGTGTTAGCGGCAACGAGTTGGGGTGCGCCGGTAGGTTTTACTGCGCTGATGTCACCGACGTATTTCCTGAATCGGCGCCTCTCATCGCCGCATCGCAGCTGAGCGAAATTCAATGAGATATGTTGCGCTACAGCGACAGCATGGGACTAGTTCCATACGCCGGTATGCCTGTTGGGAAGTGCAGCGAGTCTTCCGGTGAAGACTCCAGAAGTCAACCACCCCGTCATTGTTGGCAGAAGGGCCGGCCCGTGTCAGTCGTTTGCAAAGCGACGTAGATGGCATTTTTCGCGGCCTCGGAGATGCAGGAGCGAGCCGACGTTAAAAAAGATACGTTTGAACTACGAGTGTCAGCAAGAGCCACGTAAATACCTGTTTACACTCGGAGCGGACGCGCGCGCTTGATGGAAGTCTTGTATTCGCGCTGTTTGTAAGCGCTTCGGGACCGTTCTTTTACGATTGCAACTCGATACTGACACGACACTCGGCAAAGAAAGGTTGGACCGGGGTTGTACGTATACCTCCCACGAACTGTTATAGCTCGACAGTGACGTGCAGTCTGTCAGAATAAAAATGGCATACCAATAACAAAGTGTACATACCGTGTTACGGAGGTAATCGATACGGCGTTTATTTCAGCTCTATATCACACAAAACAAGAAGATAGAATCGACGAGAGTCCCTTTTCGACGAGTGTTCGTCAACACTGCCTCGGAAAACAAGGGGAAGAGATTGACCTCACCTCTTAATCTAGAATTGAGGTCAGTGATCAAACAATAATACGGGAAGGGTCCACAAGGGTCGCGCGGGCATATTCCATTTAGCACGCCAGCCGATCGTAGGCAGACAGTCTTGCGACGAAGCAACGCAGCGCCGAGTCGGAATGCCTGCTGGGCCTATACGCTTCGTCGGAGTCGGTGGATCCAGCGTTCTTGTTCGTCGTGGTCTGTTTTAAGTACTGTTTTCTTGCTGCTTGAAGTCGGCACGCGCGGGAAGAACACGTAGAAAAATAAACGTTCAGTCAGTCAGAGTTTTGAGAGGAAGGAAAACAAAGAAAATAAACGTTCGTCGCTGGCCGCCACCCAAGTAACTGTCGGCCCTGCCCTATTGCGCACGCGCAGTAGTTGCTTCGTTTACCACACGATAGATGGCGCCTGGCTCTCAGCATTATCAAATTTGGCAATTTTCGCCACACATCTCTAATTATGCTACAAAATGTGGATCTGAATATTATTTAACAAAACTTTTAGGAAACATTCGCCGGCTATTTATTGTTTACGATCGCGGTGCTGGTGAGGTAGGCTCTTACCCAATAGGCGACCTGGATTTGGCTGACGTGCTCCATTTCCGCGGATGCATCGTAGTGAACAGGCGAAGGAAGGAAGGCGCAAAAGAGTCCAGTTTTCTTTTAAAAGTTCTATGGCAAATAATTTTTTTGGCTCCCTATTTTTGTGTTTTTGTGTTTCTTTTCACACCTTTTACGACGTGCGGTGGATGAAACTCGATTTTAAAATCATTTCATGGTCCCTTTAAGGAGAAAAATATTGTGAGAAGTATATGAATCATACAACATTAGATTGTTAAGGGACATCAAATGTCTATAGTCATATCCCTTATCTGATAAGAAATATGAATTATATACGCGAGCAATCCGATAGGGTGTATGAATAGCCCTGTATTTTTCCAATTAGACATTTAGTAGAAGGTTGCGCTTTTTATCGTGTCTTTGTGCTCCTGTTTTAGGAGCACATTGTTTTAAGAATCACATGCTAACTAAATAATCTTTCAATTTTAAAGTTCTGAAACTTGGCCCTCTGGTCCGCACCACTACCGCTACATTTGGGAGGAGTTTGAGCGTTCGGCAAAGCGTAGCTTATTTTTGTGGCGAGAAAAACACATTTCTCTTTTCTCTCACCCGCTCGGTACACTATATATTTCCACCAACGTAGACGCTCGATCACTGTCTCTCTACTTCGCTGACGTCACAATATTGATATGTGCGTGGGCTTTTTACAGCTTTCACGAATATACTTTATTTTTTGATCGTACACATCAGAGAACATAGTGTAGTGATACGTAGACTTGGTCTCTCCAATGTTTACAAATCAAAGCGCATTGATTGAAGCATTTTGATCGTACCCTTTTCTTATTTTGCAATGAACTCGACTATCAAGCAACGATATGTAAGAGTGTCATAGGCGACCTGCAGATTGCAGCAGTGGGAACATTTTATTCCGATGTATAAACTCGTTTTTCTTTTTTGCCAAACATTCCATTTTAAATATTCCAATAAAATATTATCTTTGAGAAGGTTCGGCTGTCATGTGAAGTGCACAAAATATGTCAAGCGGACGAAGCAGTCGTATAATGAAGCTTTAAAAAACGTTGAATGTTCAGAAAGATGACGCCACGACCTCATGGTGCTCTTTTGCCGCTGTCTGATTGGTTGTAAAGGCTCGTATACGAGCAGATATAACCAATATAGCGTCAGCTGCGTCTGAACTAAAGGTGAAACGAAGTATACGGCCTGCAAGTTCGTCTGCTCTAGTTTCCCCCTGACCTCCAAGAATGACGGCGAGCGTTTGGCTGCTTCGTCATCGCGCGTTCCCTCCGGGCTCTCTATGATGATAATGTAATTATTGCAAAGGTGCAAGCGAGCTGGACAAGGACCAGGCGGATTTTTTCGGTCGCGTACCATGCAGTCACCTAGCTGTGTTTGTCTTTTGTCCCCCTTGTTGCCCTTCTCCAGGGATTATTATCGTCATTCTTGTCCAGCTCGCTTGCACCTTAGCATTTAATTACATTATCATCATAACCTTAAAATGCAAGTCGTTCACACTCGTTGGTTTTAGACTGGTGGCAGATAAAAACTGTGTGCTGTACTTACGTTTAACTCCTGGTTAGCTCAGTTGGTGGAGCGCTCCACTGGAAATGGAGAGGTCCCTGGTTTTATACCAGGAGTCCAGGACAAGGTGGGTCTTTTCGGTCGTGCACCAGTCACCTGGCTGTGTTTGGAGATTTGTGTTCGTCCTTTGTCCCTTTTGTTCCCCTTATCCAGATATCGTTATCGTCGGCGTTCTCTATGTTGCCCTTTGATTGGCGTGTTCTTCTTCGCGTTCCGATGCGCCAAACGCGCATTTCGGAACACTTGCTCGCCGTATAGATACGTCCTGTGCGGAATCAACCACTAGGCAAGGCAGCACTCATGTGTGCACTATGTCTAATCCTCTGATCTTCTTCACGCAGCTCCTAATCGCTCAGGCTGCTTTGGCCTGTCCGTTGTCGCGCCAGCATGACCCAGCGGACCGCTCCGTCACTGTGCCACTATCAAGTTTGAAGACTACTCAAGGACACGTCAGCGGCATCACCTTCCTTGCCGACAACGAGGACGACGGCAGAAACAAGCGCCTCGACTTTGACGAAAGCACAAGATCGGCATCGACATCAACCGTGGCCTACGAAGCTACAAAAGGGCTGTCTGAACGGTTCGCCATCAGAGGGCAAGGCAGCACTCATGTGTGCACTATGTCTAATCCTCTGATCTTCTTCACGCAGCTCCTAATCGCTCAGGCTGCTTTGGCCTGTCCGTTGTCGCG